ACGAGCCAGGTGTACAGATCAACCTACATGTCTGATTTAACTTATATATCTAACCTAACAATCCCAAGTCTAGATTGAAAAATTGAAAACAAAGTAACATGAAAAATTTCATTGAGAACTACCAACAAGAATACAGAATGTGAAGCTCCGTCCATTAGAAAGCTGAAGGCATTGAACGAAGCATCATTCAGTGTTGTGCCATTCTGAGAGTCACGTTCCGAAGCGGTCAGAGTCGATCGTCGTTTCCCAGTAACCAGGAAGTTCCAGGAAAGTTCCTCTCGGAACAATTCTGCCCACCTAGCCGGATTGGCCAGTGTTGCACGATTCAAAGCCATCTCTGAACCCTTTTGCTGTGCGTTTCCGATCTATTGGTGGGTCGTGGCCGGATCGCCTCCGGCTACGAGGGCACGTTTCCATTCATGAACTTGTTGCAAAGTACAATGGTCCAGCTAACTTGGCACGCCTATCTGCCGGTGGTTATCTAGGCAAATCCTCTAGTGAAACGCTAGTAGGTTTCATTGAACGAAGCCACCGAGCAATTTCGTGGCGGCATTGACTACGCTAAGGCGACACTTGGCTCGTTGAATTGGCAGGAAGCCCGTGGTCGCTTAACTCCCTCTTTCAATGAGATTATCATCGGCCACTACGGTCCTCTTCCATCCAGGACAACTACGCTCGCATTGTCGGCGAATCCGCGTCGAACGAGTCCTCGACGATTCGTCAAGCGGTGCTCGCTTGCACAGCTCTTTTTCGCGACAAACGTCTCGAGTGGACTGCTACTGGCAGGTGATACTTTGCAAAGAAATCACTTGAAATTTTAAGGTGACTAAACGCTTGCCAGCGTCTGCTTTAAGTGGATCTTCAAACTTTTGGCTGATTCAAGGAACTGCAAATTGGTCTTCGAGGGCAAATTTGAACCCACTAACGGGACACTGTAAATAAGGACTCAACGTTCAGAGCAAAGTCCTTAATTAAATCTGTTAAATAGTATCTTTTTATTCTATTATTGGTGTGGGTCTCATTAGCAACCTCCCCACGCATTATGAACTTGACAGAAATGTATTCAAGCAAACTTCATAATTGAACATTGTTATTTATTAAACATTAAGAAACTATCTTTAGAATTATAAACACTTGCCTATCTAACAAATCCGCAGATGCGCCAGTCAACAGAGTAAATGATAAGACTCCAAGTTCTAGCAGCTTCTAATTACCCCAACATTTCGAACAAAACTAACAACACCATCGTAAAACTGGTCAAACAGACATAAAGATGAAACGAGATTTGTAATAAATTCCTTGTCTGGGTGGGACGATTACGCTCGGTGCAATTGATCAAACAGCACGGTGCTTCCTGTCTCGTCCAAGATTTGCTCACCGTTTAGCACCACTTTTGAAAGCACCTCGTCTTATTTACATAGGAGGCTCGATACAGAGCTCTAATGGACGACAAAGTCGAAGCAACAGCGACCATTTATCGTCGTCACTCTCTCGGTTAGCGTGTTTAGCACCGGATCGACTGACCGCATAATAATCGTCGTATGAACTGGAATAATCACTGGCTGAAGAAACGCGGCAGAGCTAAGTGAATTAGTGATGCGTGCCTCGTTCTTCGTGTTCTCTTCATCTCGTTTCCGTTGTAGAAGCGCAGGCGTACGCTACGTTTAAGCACAGTAAGCACGTTGCCCCATGCTTATCGATTTTAACTTACTTTTGAGGCTGTTTGTGTCCATGGGATTATTGTCAGGGTAAACGGAACGTGACCCATGGCCTTTGGATCGATCGATTCGGTTCAAGGTTTTCGCGTGCAACCTCGGTTTCTGGTAACTGCTTTCATGTTTACGAAACGCTGGGATGAAAATAGACACTGCGTTATTGGGGTCATTAATGTTGTTTGCTGTTTTTCTTTTCTGCTTGATGTGGAGTGATGTCAGTTTCGGGAAAGGGATTTTGGGACTTTGAGACATTTAGGACATTTGGAATTTTGAGAATGATATTAGAACGTTAGGATGTTGGGACTTTATATATTTTGGGGCTTTGAGACATTGAGACTTCAAAGTTTTTTATTTTCTAATTTTAAGAGTTTTTAATATAACCGCAAACCTTGCAAAAATTTGAAAAGTAAGAAACCTCACATATAGTGTTTAATAACATTGTTTAATTCTATATGGTGTCTCACTGAAGTTCAGCATCTGAATTATTTTTACTGCTATCGACCTTAGAAAAAATACTTAACATAAGTTCATATAGCACCAAACTCATTGTATCGTTTACCATTATACAAAACCTCCTACCTCTATTTTCAGTATTAATAAATGTAATCAAAATTCGACATAAATGAAACCCTGTATGTGATTCCAGCAATTTACGAAAGAAGCTTATCAATCCATGCACAAATAGATCATAAAAATGCAAAGTGATCGAAGCTTGATCTCGGCAGTCCAATTACTGCAGTCCCGATACGTTTGCCCGAAACAGAGTATATTTTCGAAAGTCTGAATCAGGCCTTATTGGCCGCGATATCGTTGGACCGCATCTGGACGGGACTCGGTTGGCCGTCTTATCGGTAACGAATGTGGCGTGTCTGTTAGGGATTAATCGATTTAACACGATTCCTCGAAGCGTCGACGGATGTGTTAACGAGCGAAGGCGCGACAGATAACATCACGGTACACGGTTCCGTGGCCGCTCACGAATTATAATTGGTCCGTAATTAATGACACCGTTCGATTATTGACAGCCGGACACCTGAAGCTTGCAAGGAGTTTGGCGCGAGTTGCCCATCACCGCGCCCCCTGATACGTTTTCGCAGCCCACTTTGCTTATTTTCGGGGCTTAATTACTTGCGATGTTACGGCATAATCGACAATCGTTGACCGCGTATCGATCTCGAGATATCGAACAGCGAGCACCCGGGAGGCCCCCCGTTTACGACGTGAACAAGCAACTCCGCTTTGCTAAACTTCGCTACCTGCTTCCCTTCGCGGTTCGCCGATCGAGATTATGGTCGCGAAATTATCCCGCTGGAACGTGGCGAAACGAAATTGCCGGCGAATGGAACACTAAAATATCTGGCGTTTATGGCTTCCGTTTATGCGTTCGATCCTGAGGACTTAATTGGGAGATCCTCGTCACCACGAATTCGTATCCTTTTTCTTCATCGCACATGATTCGTTCCTTTTGGCGCACAGGGCTTGATTGAGATTCGAGATCTTGATGGTTTTATGGTGTAGGTTAGAAATGGGGAGTTTAAACCGTTTCGAGGAATCTGGAGAGGTAGCTGCTTTATGGAGTGGAGAGCTATTTCGGAGATTTAATAGATTCATTCTTTTCGGGATCGGTTTCTTTTTTGGGCAACAAGTGGGCATTTTGGGGAAATCAATTCAAGTATTATTTCTCGTTTGATCAGCAAACTGGAGTAAAGAGGTTTGATTAAATTTTCTGTAGGGTTCAAGGGACAGCTCAAGGGGTGCAATTTTAAAAAATGAAAACACTTGAAAATTTCAATAATAGGAAAATGAGATTCGTCTATTTCATATTTCTCAGAATGAAGTCTGCATCGATGTCATGCAAATGCTGAATCGTCAGAAGCTCTTAGAGTAGCATCACCAGCATTGAATCGTCAACGTCAAGTCGTCAACGTCAAATGGCCAGCATCTCATCGTGGTCAACGTCAAATTGTCACTAATGAATCGTCAGCGTTGAATCGTCAGCACTTACCATCAAATTACCAGCATCAAGTCGTCACTGTCGATTGACACCTTCGGATGATCAACCTGGAATTATTGTCAACTCGCAACATCAAATTCTGTTCATATACCAAAAGAATATAATTGACTCGGGAAATTGACATACACCATTTAAATATTGTTCGTATCATAATACTTATTATTCACTAATGATACTTGTCCATGACTTGTTGTTCATAAAAATGTACCAGTGTTTAAGAGTGGTTCGTGTACGTGTGTGTATACGGTGTGCTCGATAATGTGTTGATGTTCGATAGTTCGATCGATCGGTAGATCGATATATACATACGGTTCAAATGTATTTCTCTGAACCATTAAACGCTCGCAAGTAAAAGTTAATTACGAGTAGACAAGGACGGGAATATTGATACGACCGTATATTTTTTTTTTTCATCTTGGTATCAAACCGAAGAGAAGTATGTTAAATTAACGTATGTACAACGTCGTAACGTTACAATGCTTTCAATGTTTCGATAACAGTTAAAAAACCTATTTTTTTTTTTTCGTTTAATCGATACAATGATTCAACAAACACAGCCTTGCGAGTTCATTGGAAACTTAATCGATTATCAACGGAAGATCGTTTTGTTTGAACGCGGTTCCAAAACGTGTTTTGGACAACGATACTCCCACATGTGGTACTTAAAATACGTTAACGTATCCTCTACTAATAGGATTTTTTCGAAGAGCTTAAAATACTTTGCGATGTGAGCTAACTACAGTTTTAAAGGAAAAGAAAAAAGGTGCTTTCATCGATGCGATTATCTCTAGATTCAGCGATCGCTATGTCTAAAGTACCTTTTACTCTTTTGCAGTCGAAACGGTAACTCGTTTGATTTTTCACTCGTTTATATTATTTATGAATTACTTAGAGGATTTATTCAAGCAACGAGAGAAGCAAGAAAAGCAACAGGTGAGAAAACATAGACATAAAGATACGATGTCTGTGTTAATCAAATTTCAATATTAAATTATTTCAAGATACAGAAATATCTCGACGCTGTTTTATTTCAATTTAATGTCATATTTGGAAGTGAACAATTTCTATTTGGAATAGCTTTGATTTTAAAATCGCTTTTGATTTTGATGCTGTAATATAAGATGGCCACGTGTGACATATTCAGTAAGAATTATTAAAGATATTATTACAATTTTCAACTTATTTCCTACTGTAAGAAATTATTAACACTTCTTTTTTTAAGATTGTTTCTTTTGAGTATTCATATCAGAATCATGGGTTGTTTCTGTTTTCTGTGACAGTCACCGAGTTAATTTTTCTATGACTCAACCAAAAGCACAAGTGCTATAAACATTAAAATCTTCCAATTTCAATCGCAATAAAAATCGAAAGAACTATAAACTATTTAATAGTTAAAACTTCCACAAAACTTAACAAACAAGAGCACGAGTGCTATAAACTTTTCCTCAAAACTTTGCCAACGAAATCGCAAATACGTTAAAATTTCGAAGTATATCAGTCTTAAAGGTTGACGATCAAGAATCTGTTTGAATCATCACGAATGTATGATCTCGACTGCACGGGGATTGCCACATCTCTCAACCACCCTCTCAGCTAAAACGACATCGATTAACCATCACGAGGGGTGAACAAAAAATGAAAGATAGAAGAACAACCAGGTCCCGTGACCCGAGCTATCGAGCTCACATCGCGGCGATAAATTGTCGAATAATGAACCCCGTGTTTAAATCGGGTACACCGAGAGACTCGCAATGGAAAAATGGATTTATTCGTCAAAAAAGCGCGATACACGTCTTACAATGCGCATCGACCAGGGACAACGATTACAATCTATCCGTATATGTGCTGTATACTCGCCTAAAAATCGACTTTGATATCGTTAAAGCCAGAATTGTATACTATTCGAATTATTTTTAAACATCGATTTTTATTATAACGATGACACTCGAGTTTCCGCTTTTTCGACTTCAAAGATACTATTTTGCTTCAGAAATTTAGGGGCTTTCAATTTTTTAGGTTTAACGATTGTAAACTTCAAAGTTATGAAGTTTATGAATTTTTTAATTTAGGATTTTCCAATTTTTTAATTCTTTGATTCTCAAATTTTTAGCGGGAAAATATGAGTTCCACTTATATGACCCATTGCACAATTTTCTCCACTAGTGCAACCCTATGGCAATATAACTTACTCAAAGATAACGAATAACTTTACTCGAATAAAATCTAACCCGACCCAAAGATCATTCGTTACTTTCCAATTTCCCTGAAAGTATCCTCGACCACCATCGTTACATTTGTAAATATTCTCAAATTACCCGAATAGCATCCAGCTCCGTTTAAAGTGACCTCGTCAAATTCCACTCGGTATCACAACACCAAAAAAAAACATCTCGTCTCCGTTTCACTTGATCTCGTAATCAGCCAGATTACCTTTGCGCCGCCTATAAACGATCGGTTCGTTGGTGCGATTGCCCAAACCGATCGATCGTTTCACGTTCGTTCGATACTCGTCCTCGTACGCGTTCAGATACAAGTTCTTTAGGAAGATTTGGTTATCCAGCTCGGACAAAGGGAGAAACCGTTTGGATCGGCTCTGTTGTTGCGCCTCGAGTTCCTTGAACGTGAACAGCCTGGTCTTCTCGTCGTCGTAGGCGTTCGATCTCTTGGAGACCTCGTGCATCTCGCGCCACGACGACCACGATGATCCATCGTTGTTCTTGTTACCGTTCACGGAGAGCAGCCTCCGCTTCTGTCGTGGAGGACCAACGTCCTCTTCGGCGTTTCGTATTCGCTTGCTGCGGTGCTTTGGCACTCCTTCTTTGGCGGGTATCTCGTTGTCCAGCACCGAGGACTCGTTACTGGGCATCGTCGAGGATCGATTATCGTGAGACTCGATCTCCCGAGGGGTTGGTAGCGTGGTGGTCGTGCTGGCGTTGCTCGTCGACGGGCTCGAGATGGTCGTGCTGATGACGATCGACGTCGTGGACGACGGGGACGCGCTCGTGGACGCCTCGGTCGGCGTCGTCTCGTCGCTGGCGTTCAGTTTAGCCTCTATGATATGTTTGAAGAACGCGTACATCTCGCCTACAGTAAACGTGGTGCCGTTTCTCACGGTGAACTTATCGATCTTCATGTTCTTGATCAACTCCTCGGTCGCGTTTCGCGCTTCCAGCATCGACAGCTTCTCCGTCACGTAGCTGTTCACGAACTCGTAGAATCCTTTGTAGTAGTTCTTCCTGTGTTTCTTCTTCTCCTTCGACTTCTTCCCTTTGTCGCCGTGGGATTGACCCTTCTTCTTCGAGTCCTTGCGACTCTGCTTCTCGTTCCAGCGCATCGACTTGTTGTAGAAACGCATGATCCTCTCGAACTCGCGCTTCAACTTGATGAATTCTCGCTGGTTTCTGATCTCGAACTCCGAACGTCCTCTGCCCGTGCCGTTCCTACGGGATTCCGACAGGTCCACGTGGAAGAAGTTTTTGCTCATCGCGTTCAAAAGATCGTGCATGCTGCCGTTCGTGGAATTGTTCGATTGTCTCGCGTCGATTCGCTGAAGTTTGCGATAGACCAGTTTCAGGAAGTCGATCATCTTCTCTTCTCGAAGACGGGTCCTGTTCCCGTGTCCCAGGTGCTTTTTCCAGGATAAACTTTCCGTGCTGTTGTCGTGATGAGTTGCGTTGGAATTCTTCGTTTCTGCTTTGTGCTTAGGGTGATCTTTGCCTTTGCTCATCTCGAGGTGCAACAGCTTCTTGCCGATCTTCCGGAAAAACTCGATGAATTTCCTGGAAAATTAGTCGAAGTCTCCATTTCAGGGATGGAGTGAACATGTTTTAGGGGATAACGCATACGAAAGACGTTTTGGTGTGGACCTATGAATATAACTTTATAGACATTGTATATAGTAAGCTCTGCTAATTATGACACTGTACTAGTTATTGACACAAATAATTTTAGTAAGAATTCATAGAAATTATATGTGTAATATTATTTTTTTAAGTATGCACTAATTTTTAACGCAGTATGTATATTCAAGTTTTCGATTGATTTTGCGAATATAAAATGAAGATACACAGAATGAATCTCTTCAGGGATGATGAGTTTAAGACTACATAAGAATATAATGCCTGTTATGTGTACATGTGTTTCTCACTTATTTTAGACAGTAATCAAGTAGAGAGAATGCAAGGGACATTAGTAACATATCAGAAAATAGGAATGTCCACATATATGTTCACTAGCTAGAATTTAATAACGTCATGCACATATGTGTCCATATCAGAGGATATTTAAGAATATAGTAAATGTACAATGACATAGTACATGTATCAATGAAACAGTACCAAGAACATAATATTTTTTAATTATATGGAGTCGAATGATAACAGTAGCGTATTTAGAAACAGCATAAGTAAACTCACCTATAACTCATGGTGAGATCCTCCTCGTTCACGGACCTCCTACGCCTACTCCATCTGAGCCTAGGATGTTGTCCAGGTATGCACTTGGGTAACTCCTTTGGACTCCAATTTCCTCTGATGCAAGTGGCTCCGGTGGGTCCCTCGTCCAGCACATAACCCTTATCGCAATCGTACATGATCTGCTTGTTATTCACGACCTTCTTAACGTACGGCCTGTAATCGTAGACGCCCATGTTGCCCATCAGAAACACCTTTCCGTTCTCGATGAAGCCCGGAAACGGGCAGAACACTTGGACACAGTGCGGTATATCGCCGATCCAATTTCCATATTGGCACTCGACCGACAGGGAGTCGTTTAATGGACCTCCGCCGACCAGCTCGTAGCCATCCTTGCATTTGAATACCGCCTTCATACCGTGGTCCGTTTTCGGCGCTATCGCCATCCCATTTTTCGGCGGCTTCGGCATCAGCTTGCACCTGGCCGGCGAACAACTGGGCACTATGGACCACGTGCCATTATTACACATCACCGGTGTGCTGTTAGCCGCGAATTCATAATTCTGCACGCACGAAACCAGCAATCTCTCGCCGTGTTCTACCACGGTCACGTTGTTGATGTGATCTTTGCCGTGGCTCGCCACGGTTATGTGACCGTTCTCTATCTGCGGCACCACACATGGAGCCAGACACTGCGGCAACGGATAACGCCATTTTCCGTCGCTCTGACAAACGGACGATGTATTGCCCTCCAGCTTCATGTGGTCGTTGCAGCGGAAAATTATGCTCGCCCCCAGACCCGTACCTGGTAAACAAAGAGGTGTTTAAAAGTATACGCTGTTCTAGTTACAGTCGATTTACAATTAATTATTGGGGATATTTTTTTACTCTTATGGGTTAAATTTAAAAAAGAAAAACAGTGTCAGTATCCTCCTGGAGGTTAAAGATATTTAAAACGATATTCATTTAAATAGTCTTGGTAGCTGTTTAAATTATATTATCGCAGTATTATAAATACTTTTTCGAACGATTTGATATTTACACCATTTACAAAATTGCCATTGTAAACATTGTCCTCTATAATTACATGTAACAGACAATTGTTCAATAAGGGCATCGTTTATTTTTACCACTAGAACTTATTTATAATGTCGAAGTATTCACCCCCGTTTAACTCACCCGCCTCGATATTCTCAATCCAACCGTTGTAGAGAACACCAGGTGAACCGCAATCAATCTCCTGGCAGGTAGGTGTCTTTCCAGTCCATTTTCTATCAGCCCCACACCGTCTTGTCGCCGCTCCGACCACCGTGTAACCATAATCGCACTCGTACGACACGATGGAATTGTATGCATACGAGGTGTACACCGCCTTCCCGTTCACTGGGTTCTCCGGTTTCGGGCATTGCACCGTTGTAAGCTGAACAGAAAACGTTTCCTGGTCGGACGGTCCGCGGAAACGGAGAAATAAAAGGGTCAGAGATGGGGGAATGTTTACGTGCCGCTTACTTGGACGCATTGTGGCGATTCTTTGGGGGTCCATGTGCCGTCTGCCAGACACAGCTTCTCGGCTTTGCCGACCAATTCGAAACCGTTCGCGCAGTGATACGACACGCGGCAATCGTACGTGTAACATTCGCCTAGAAAAACAAATAAATTTACTCGACAGAGCGGAGTAAATATTTCAATGAAATTTCAAGTCTGGTGATTTGTTCATTTTTGAAATTTTGTATCAGTGAACTTTGGAGTTTGGCTTCGAATTTTAAGTTATTAAAGTTCTTGCATTTATAAGTTAAATATTATAAAGTTTACTAAAAGTAAGAAGTTTAAAAATTCTTAAGCTTTCACTTTTCTGTCAACGGGTTATCGGCTTCAGGATTTCAACGACCACAGGTTTAGCATAATTTGTTGTAGAGCTACCCGAGGTGAAACAGCAAAAGCGCAGTATAATTGAAAATAAATACGTACCAGCGTGCCAGCCGTTGGCGATATCCGCCGGAGGGCCGCAGCTCTTTGGTTCGCACGTGATATCAGGTCCGAACCAGCTCGCAACACCTTCCATCAACAGGCACTTCGCCTTCTTCACCCCCGTGGTCACGTATCCGTGGTTGCAGAAATATTGCACGACTCTGTCGATGTCGAAGGTCGTCTGTTCCACAGGAGCGTTGTGCCTAGCGTTCTTGACTTTCGGCGGTTGCGAACAAAAGGAGCTGCGATCCTTTTTGCAGGACGGTGTCGTGCCGGTCCAGTTGCCGTCGGCCCTGCACGTCCTTTCGGTGAGTCCGACGGTAAAGTAATCGGGATCGCAGGTGTAATGGGCTCGATCGCCGAAAAATCTGCCGGTCACCGTCATCACGCCGTTCTGGATCTCCGTGAGCGGCGGGCATTCTCTTTCCGGTTTGATGCAAGACATCCCGCAGGCACCGTCGCATCTGCACTTTTTCTTCTTGCTCTTGCAGTCCTCGTCGGTGGAGCACTTTCTCAGACACTTCTGGCCGAACAGCATCGCCTGTTTCTCGTCCCTAGGACACATAGCCGACGGCGAATTCCTCGGGTTCTTGTAAATGCGTCCATCGTCGTCCACCTCAGTTTTGGACTGATAGGACGCGTCCTCGTCGTCGTCGTCCTCGTCCTCGTCGTCCCAATCGTCGTCGTCGTCGTCATCGTCGTCCACGGCCGCCTGTTGATGTAACTTGGACTCGGTCGCCAGGTAAAAGGTGCACAGGAAGAGCAACAGAAGAACCGCACTAGGTCTCATCCTCGTTATCGCGTATCCCAGTTCGAAACCTCGATGAACGACCACGCGTTTACATGACCGACGTGTTCGATGATTTTAAAGCGATCACTCGAAACGTTTCAGCAGACTACGGTGGTCCATCGACGTCCTCCGTTACGGAAGCTCGGCTTAAAGTACCAGCGTCACTCTCATCCCGGGGAACCGGCGAGGACGACGTCGTTTCTCTCGCGACCGTGACTATTAATCGAGTCTGCCTCTTCGGCGTCCAGGAGGATTAGGACGGTGTCTCTGTCTCCGTCTGGTTGCTCGCCTCTCCGTTCCCCTAACTCCGTGCAATTTTTTTCTTTATTGTGCGGACTGCGGCCCCGTGCTGCCGGGAATTCGCGGATACTCGCGCATCTCTGCACGCGCACTCAGCCTGTTCAATACATCTCCTCACTCGTGCAGCTTCCAGCAGATGGCGAGGGACAGGGGAAATGCTCGGAGTTGCGCAGAAACGATTTTACCCCCATACTTGCATAGACTTACCCCTCGCGACGCGTTTCACCCGCTTCGCTACACGCCGACGGGGGTGGCTGCCTTCGATACGGTTTATACCGGCAACAATCGGAAACATGATTCATTCACGGTGCGTCTGAAACGTTTCGAATACGCTTCTCTGACGGACAAATCTTCTTTCCTTTTGACGTATGGCCGATTCTACGTTTCAGCAGATACGCCGTATCTTGCTGTGGGGGAGGGTCGTGTACAGTTCCTCTCAAAAATATTACCTCGTATTAAACAAATTTTGTCTGATACGTTTATAAGTTACATAACTTAATTAAACTCTGTTTCTGATGAACGTTTGATAATTATTTTAAATATTTTGCCAAGATCATACTCAAAAATTAATAAAATTATTATAAAGGTAAATGTTAGCAATCGTGACCATATGAATAATTCACCTCAATGTCCTCATAAACAGTAGTTAACAATAATAGTACACTCGTAGAGTAAAATTAGTGGAACAGTGAATAGTAGAATAAACTAGTATAATAGCTCAGCAGAATTTGTTGCGAAGAAACACTTCAGGTGTTCAAGGTAAAAAGATAATTATTAATTCATCAAAGTAACCGGAGTTAAACGCCATTCGTTGCAGCCACTTTACACCTAAATCTTTCATCTCCGGCCTCACAAAAAATCGCTTTGATAACACGTTTCGCTTCCCGCTTCCGATCCGGATCATTCTAATAGAAAGTTTTAACCGTGAAGCGAGATCTACTATCCAGAGAGAGTTCCCCTATCCCTTTAAACAAGCCTCTCGATTACACACATTTTCGTACAGCTCACGAGGAAACACCTTCCTCTTACATGAAGAACGTAGAGAAGCGTAGTACGTTCGAAAACGCCTGCTAACGTATCGAGTCACGAAAGCAAGCACCTGCAGCCACTTTCTAACCTGTTAACACGTTATTCGTCGACCAGACAAATTGAGCAAGCTTTTTCCATCTTACTGGTCCATTTACGGACTACCGATCTAACGATAATAACGCGGTAGCTATTTCTTTCGGCAACTGGGGAGGAAAATTGATGCGGTGTGGTATAATCAGGAAGTAAATTTTCATGGTTGCACATTTGAATATTTATGAGGTTGCTGTTACTATGTTGTGCATGACTGAATTCTTAAATTTCTAATTTTGTGCGTTTACAAATTTTCACGCATTCAAATTCTCAAATTTCTAATTTTCTACATTCCCAAATTCTAATACCCTCGAATTTTCAAATTTCTAATTTTCTACGCCCCCCAATTCTCAAATTTCTAATTTTCTACGCTTCCAAATTCTCACACCCCCGAATTCTCAAATTTCTAATTTCCTACGCCCCCAAATTCTCAAATTTCTAATTTCCCACATTTCCAAATTCTCACATCCCCGAATTCTCAAATTTCTAATTTCCTACGCCCCCAAATTCTCAAATTTCTAATTTCCCACATTTCCAAAATCTCACACCCCCAAATTCTCAAATTTCTAATTCTCTACACTCCCAAATTCTCAAATTTCCAATTTCCTACACCCCCAAATTCTCAGATTTCTAATTTTCCACATTTCCAAATTCTCACACCCCCAAATCCTCAAATTTCTAATTTCCTACACCCCCAAATTCTCAGATTTCTAATTTTCCACATTTCCAAATTCTCACACCCCCAAATCCCCAAATTTCTAATTTCCTACCTTCCCAAATTCTCACACCCCCAAATTCCCAATTCACAAAATTTCCAAACTTCCACCACCTGATCTCCCAATCCCCAAATTCTCACCCCACCAAAAATCAACCAGGTCCAAGTGCAATCCACAAAAGCTAAGTCTGACCCACCTCAATAATCCCAGTTCTTACAACTTGTCATCTATGCTACCTCCACATGTGTCTCCACATTCGGTCACGCGACATCAGGTCTCGAAGGCAGCTTTTCCATTTACCAGACTCGATTTGCATGATAAAGCGGCTGGCCGAAAAATGCCAAAGAAGTCGAGGCGTGGGTAGTAGCCGTAGGATCGACTTTCAACGGACAAAACTCGATCTACGTAGCTTGTTAAGCGTCGCGTAGGCTATCCGAAGTAATCCTCGTAGCCTAAGTCAGAACCTCGTCGTTAGGGTAAGCCCGCGTCTGGCCATTGTCTTGGTAACGATCGTAATCAATCGGCACGGTTCGATGCTCTACCACTGCGTTCGGTGATCCTCGCCCCAATCTCAGCTATCAGCTTCATCGTTCTCGCCGTGTGTCTCTCGGATGTCTTCATTTGTCTTATTCAAATGAAATGCCTTGGGGACGACCTTTCAGCCACGAGCACGCTTACCGTGATGTCTCGTGGAAAATTGACGGATAGAATCCCTTTGTGCCGATTTCTTGGCGCTGTCCGATGCTCTGGCAATCGGCTGGAAGGTCCGCAATATTGAATTCTGGACATGCTTCGGAGAATTGTATTATTTATGATCGTGCTGGTCCATGGAAAAATTGATTTATCGGAACCCCTTTTCGCTATGTTCGATAAGTATTAAATATTTGTGCAGGGATGCGATGCTATTAAATGAGATCATTGAGTTAGCGATTGATATTAAATATTTGTGCATCGCTCTGATGGACAGGACCTCAATTTTTTACCTGGTCTGTTTTTTTTAGCAATTTAAACAAATTTGTAGACTATTGAATTTTTCACTTTTTTCATTTTTACACTTTTTTCGTTTCGACAGGTTACTTGAAGGGTAGGTGAATTTCTGTAATTGATAGTTTGCAATGTTCGATCGCATAAATAGAATGAATTGGATTACAATGTTTTTAGAATATTTTGTTATTTATTAGAATGAGTATTAATGACGTTTTTAATTTTGCGATTGCTTTGCTATTATCACCGAATGTTGGGCTCAAACGTTTTTCACCTAGTCCTTTTTGTACCGTGGTTATCGACAAGAGTTATCAGGCAATTAACGAACGCCAATATTGACACAAAACTCGGAAAAATATTCTACGCGTATTTATTTTATTGGCAATCGTTCACATTGAAGGAGTGGAACAATCCTTGAAATTGAAGTTGAAACCCCTATTCAATGATACATGTATTTCCGAAGTTATTGATCCGAAGTTGGATTGGAAATAAAATATACAAAATATTTGTGTTACCATTCTTTTAAAAAACAGAACTTTACAATAATAAAATACGTAACCCTATAACTTTACATTTAACCTTCACTAATATAACTGTATCTCACAAATAAAATTAACAAAAAATTATATCCAGAAAGTATACAGAAAGCATACAAATATAATTTATGTATCATAAACATTTCCAAAGTGCCCTAAGAATGACCAGCAATCATTGCGTTCACAGTTCACAGAAAGAGTTAAACTGTAGAGTAGATTCTTAGAAGCAATTTCGAGTAAAGATCGCGTTCGCAGTATCACGGATACAAACGATACAACTTTTCCTCTCGGTGACAACGCTGAACAACCTCGCCGGGTTATTCATTGTCAGGAGTGTATCTTCGTTTGGACGGGAACGTCAGGTGAGATTGACAGAGTGGCAGTAACTCGGTAGCTGAAAATGGGAGTGGCTGAAAGACGAGAGGACAGCTCGCTCAACGACATCCCCGTGACGCCTCTTCGCAGATCCTCCAGCTAAGAAGTAAGGACATAAGAAATCAGTGATTCTCAACCTGTCTTAATCCTCCGCCTGTATCACATTTACCCTTAAACGAATCCTTAAATTAAATTAAATTAAGTTAGATTCATGTGTAAGTTCACTTTGCGAATTTTTATTCACAAGTTGTTATTTTATCTGTTGTTCACTTATATTTTATCAGACATTATTGATGTGTGCAGTCTAGCATATGGGGAAAATGTGGAGGTTCAGCGAAAGTTTATAGAGAATCGAGAGAGGTGCAGAAATAAGTTGCATAGGAGTTCTCTTAAAAAATTGTATAATATATCCTTGATAACAATCCCCAATCAGCCCTAATAGAAATCTTATATAACGAATACTCTTATTGAATAATATAAATCAGACGTCGACTTTACTATTCACGCATAAAATCCCTCATTGTCAGAAGCAATTACAGATTACAATGTAAATGACGTTATGCAATATCTCTTACGAAGACTTACAAACGTCAGAATGACTTGTTCCAATCCATTGATCGATACGAGACATCGGTTACCACGATGGACGAACAGAAAGACTAAATGATCAAGTTACGTTTATTATCAGTACCGTTTTGTTTCAATCACGGGGAGATAAATTATGAGAGATAACGTGACATAACGTAGGCACGTAGTTGCAAGCTGACATCGTGAGCTCATCGTTCTTTCAGACCGAGACATGCGTACCGCCCACTGAGAGACAAAAAGAACATTCTTCGGTTGATGAAACAGGTATAACAAAACTACACTGATACCTGCGTTTAACGCTTTGATATAACGTGCTTTGATACGAATTATCTTCATGAGTTAATATAAAACTTAAGCTTAAAACTTCCATATTCTCAGTTACTGATATTCTTATTTGTCAAGTTATTTATTTTGTCACCGGATAATTTTTTAGACGGACTGCGAAATATCATAGGAATGAGGCAATGTACTTTCATAGCGCGCTAATTTCTCACATGTTTA